CTTACTGCATAGCCCCAGCTCACTTAGAACTCACTATGTAGACCAGGCTGGTCTTGAACCCATAGAGATCCACCTGCTTCTGCCTCCCATGTGCTACTATTAAAGTGTGTGCCACCAAGTTGTTTGTCCATAGTCAATAATAATATTTCAAAATAGTAAAGAGAGTAAATGTCCAATATCTTACCACAAAGAAACAAATAAGTTAGGGGATAGATATGTTAATCAGGCTGATTGAATCATTCTACTTTACATAAATCTATAAAACATCTATAGTCTATCTCATTAATATAGAACTATAATTTACTAGTTTAAATAATATTAATTACAGTGTACACCTGTAATCCCAGCAATTGGGAGCCCAAGTAGGAGGATTATGTGATGCTAGTATCATCAGATTCTGTCTCTAATACAGTAATCACAATTTAAAATTAAAAAGTACCCTTTCCCTTAGGAGTTGAGTATAGAAGTTTTTAATTTTTAAATATACTTTATTTATTCTTTGAGAATTTAATATATGTTTACAATGTATTTTTACCATGTTTACCCCCTAGTTCCCCCAGCTCCCAGCCTATACTTCTCCAACATTTCTCCCTTCTAACTTCATGTCCCTTTTTTTAAATTTTTTTATTTTTTTTTGGTCTTTTTGAGACAGGGTCTCCTTGTAGCCCCAGCTGTCCTGGAACTCACTATGTAGACCAGGCTGGCCTTGCACTCACAGAGATCCGCCTGCCTCTGCCTCCCAAGTGCTGGGATTAAAGGTGTGCGCCGCCATGCCTGGCTCTAACTTCATGGCCTTTTAAAAAAAATAATTCACTGAATCCAATTAGTGCTTCCCACATACATGTAAATGTTGGTCCATCCACTAGAGTGTGAGTATTTACCAGTGACCACACTACCCCCCCTGAAAAAAGTGACTGTCTCTCCTCCAGCAGCCATAACTCCTTAGTTAAGAATGGGCCTTATGAGCCCCCTCCCCCAATCCATGCTGGAATTTAGACTGGCTTGGTTTTGTGTAGGTAAATACAGCTGCTGTGAGTTCATGTGTGCAACAACCATGAACTATTGTTTATGTCCAGAAGACAGTCCTCCCCATCCTCCAACTCTCAGTCTTTCTGCCCCCATCTTCCACGATGCTCTTTGAGACTTGGCAGGGGTGGGATGTTGATGTGGGTGTTCCATTTAGGGCTGAGCAGGCACAGCCAGTTCTCAGCACTGTGACCAGTTATGAGTCTCTGCATTACCCACTGCCCATCCCAAAAGGAGTTTCCTCTGACCCTGACCAAAGTTGAGAGTAGCACAAACTTGAGTATAAATAGAAGTATTTAATATTTTATTTATTTATTATTTTTATTTATGTGTATGTGTGTATTACCTGCATGTAGGTAAGTGCACCCATGTCATGCAATGCCTGTGGAGGACAGAAGAGTTGTTGGATCCTTTGGAACTGGAGTTACGGACAGTTATTAGCTTCCATGTGGGTGCTGGGATTCGAATCCCAGTCTTCTTCAAGAACAGCCAGTGTTCTTAACCGCTGAGCCATATCTCCAGCTCCTAAACAGAAGTATTTAAAGACAGGCAGTTTGACAACATGACCATTAACCAAAAAGTAATAGCAGATTCCCCTCTAGGGCCTATAACCTCCCTGACCATGGCCTTTTGACCAGGCTTGCAGTACCAGACATGAATTCCTTCCTCTGGAGCAGGCCTCAAATCTAATTAGAGAGCAGTTGGCTACTCCCATAATAGTCATGCCACTACTGTACCAATGGGCATATCCTGCCTGGCAAGTCTGTATTGTAGCATGCAGGGTCCAGAGCTGGCTAAGACAACTGATGTCTTTCTTTTTCCCTCCAGCAGCCTGCCTAGCACCTTCTGACACTATGAAAGCTGGCCATCAGAGAGGAACTTTCCTGGTCAGGTTGATTTCTATGTCCTGCAAAGTGTGCAGTGTCTTTGGTAGTAGGGTCCTACTGTCTAGTTAATGGTGGGCAACAAAGAGAAATGCAGTAGTCCATTTGAATGGCCTTGCAGGCTTCCATGACCAAAAACTTATAGGGAGGGATCCATGCCTGGTAGAGATTTTTGTATAACTTCTGTCTTCTGGGAGCACCGTTGTCCACCCTTGCAAGGTATCACCATTCAAATTCCTTTTTAATAAAATTACATTTTTAATTGATATTCAAAGTTATGGGTTTCCATAGGCTTTTTCATACATCCTTAGTTTTAGTTAACCTGCTGCCCCTTCCCACCTCTCCCCATCCCCCACCCCATTCCCACTTTGATTTTTCTTTTCAGCTGAATAAAATTCCATTATGCATATGTACCATATTTTCAGGTTTTTTCCCCCCAGGGGGCTTGTTTTTTCATTTTTTGAGATAGGGCCTTTTTATGTAGCCTGACTGGCCTAGATCTCATTCTGTAGACCAGGCTGGTCCATCTGTCTGTCTCTGCCTCCTAAGTGTTGGGATTAAAGACTTGTGCCATCATACCTGGCTAAATAGAATTAGATATAATTTTTAAAAAATATTTTATCTATTATTTTTATTTTGTGTGTATGGGTGTATTGGCTGCATATAGGAAAATGCACCCGTGTCATGCAGTGCCCTCGGAGGACAAAGAGACTGTCGGATCCCCTAGAACTGGAGTTACAGACAGTTGTTAGCTGCCATGTGGGTGCTGGGATTTGAACCCGGGTCTTCTGCAAGAACAGAACAGTCAGTGTTCTTAACCACTGCACTATCTCTCCAGCCCCAGAATTAAACATACACACACACACACACACATACACACACACACACACACACACATATGTATTGGTCCCTTTGAGACAGGGTCTCCCCATAGCCCCAGTTGTCCTGGAATTCATTATGTAGACCAGGCTGGCCTTAAACTCACAGAGATCCGCCTGCCTTTGCCTCCCGAGTGCTGGGATTAAAGGTGTGGGCCACCATGCCCGACTCTTGATATAATTTTTTAAAATATATTTTAAAAAATTTTTATTTTATGTGTATGAGTGTATTGCCTACATGTATGTTAGTGCACCCGTGTCATGCAATGCCACAGAGGTCAGAAGAGAGCTTTGGATTCCCCTGGAACTGGAGTTAAGGATGGTTTGTAGCTGCCATGTGGGTGCTGGGAATCAAACCTGGGTCCTCTGCAGGAGCAGTCAATGCTTTTAACTGCTGAGCCATCTCTCCAGCCCCTAGATTTACTTTCTTTTAAATTGTGTGTGTGTGTCTGTGTGGGAGTATGTGCATGTGTATGTGTGTGCTCATGGAAGCCAGAAGAAGGTGTCAGATCCCCAGGAACTAGAGTTAAAGGCAGTTATGAGCTGCCCCACATGGATGCTGGGAACTGAGCTCTGGTCCTCTGTAAAAGCAGTACATGCTCTTTTTTTTTTTTTGAGACAAGGTCTCCCTGTAGCACCAGCTGGCTGGGAACTCACTATGTAGACCAGGGTTGCCTCGATCTCACAGATCCTCCTGCCTGTGCCTCTGAGTACTGGGTTTAAAGGTGTGCACCACCATGCTCGGCCCCTGATTTCTTTCTTTCTTTTTTTTTTAATTATTATTTTTATTTTATGTGTTTGCATGTATTGCCTGCATGTAGGTAAGTGCACCTGTGTTGTGCAGTGTCTGTGGAGGTCAGAAAAGGCTGTTGGATGCCCTGGGACTGGAGTTAGGGACAGTTGTTAGCTGTCATGTCGGTGCTGGGATTCGAACCCAGGTCTTCTTCAAGAACAAGTAGTGTTCTTAACCACTGAGCTATCTTTCCAGCCCTGGCTCCTGATTTCTTAATGTAGGACTTTAAACTTCCCTCCTAGGACTGTTTTCATTGTATCCCATAAGTTTTGATATGTTGTGTTTTCTTTTTTATTTGATTCTAGGACTATTTTACTTCCTTCTTGATTTCTCCATTCATTGCTCAAAGTTTGTTGTTTTATCTCCACTTGTTTGTATGTGCTCGAGGGTTTCTCTTGCTGTTGATTTGTAGTTTTATTTCATTATGATTAGAATACAAGGAATCATTTCAATTTTCCTGTATTAAAAATTGCTTTGTGTCGTAACATATGATATATTTTAGAGAAAGTTCTATGGGTTGCTGAGGAAAATGTATTCTTCAGTGTTTGTGTGGGATATTCTGTGGATTTCCGTTAAGTCCATTTACTTATGTCATTTAAATCAAATATTTCTCTGTTTTTTTTTTTTTTTCGTTGAGTGAGAGTGGCATATTGAGTCACCCAGTGCTATTGTGCTGGCTTTAATCTGTGACTTGACATCTAGTTGCATTTGTTCTGTGAAACTGGGTGCACCTGTCTTTGGAGCTACATGTGTTTAGAATTACAATGTTCTCTTGGTGGGTTGTTTTCTTAATCAGTATGATGTGACCTCCTTTATCTGTCTTCACTAGTTTTTGTGTGAAGTTTTGTCAGGTATTGTAACGGCAACACCTGCTTCTTTCCTCAGTTCATTTGCTTGGAATATCTTTTTCTATCCTTTACAGAAAATATAAAGTAGTGTCTGTCTTTTGTGATGAAGTGAGTTTTTTGGAGGCTTTTTTTTTTTTTTTTTTTTTTACCCTTTTAAAGAGGTGTTTTTGGTTTGGGATTTTGTTGTTGTTTTGAGAGAAGGTCTCACTATGTAGACCAGACTGGCCTAGAACTCACTACGTAGACCTAGCTGGCCCTGAACTCACAGAGATTGGCTTGCCTCTTGCCAAGTGCTGGGATCAAAGGCCTGTGTCACCGTGCCTAACCTGGTTCCTGTTTTTAGATCCAGTCTACTAGTCTGTGCCTTTTGATTGGGGAATTTGTTTGTTTTGTTTTTGTTTTTACTAGCTCTCTCTTTCATGTGTTTGTTTTTTGTTTTTTGGTCTTTTTGAGACAGGGTCTCCCTGTAGCCCCAGCTGACCTGGAACTCGTTATGTAGACCAGGCTGACCTCGAACAGAGAGATCCACCTCAGAGACCTCACAGAGATCCACCTGCCTCTGCCTCCCAAGAGCTGGGACTAAAGGTATGTACTACCACGCCCGGCTGAGACTGTCTCAAAAAAAAAAAAAAAAAAAAAAGACAGGATCTCCCTGTAGCCCAGCAGGCCTGGAACTCGCTTTGTAGACTAGGCTGGCCTCGAACTCACAGAAATTCGCCTGCCTCTGCTTCCTGAGTGCTGGGATCAAAGGCATGTTCCACCATGCTTGGCAGTTTCTATGTTGTTGGTTTTTTTCCAGCATTCCAAGTTGGTTTTTCTTCAGTATTTCTCTGTGTTGAATTCCTCTTTTATATCATTCATCACCTTCCTGATTTCATCCGTTTGCTTGTGTCTTTGAATTTATAATCACTGAGTTCTCAAGTTGTCTAGGATTTCATCTAATTCATTCACTCTCCCTAGATGCAATTTCTGTAGGATCTGTAGTTTGGGGAGGAGTTACGTTGTCTTGTTTTTGTTTCTTGTGTTACTACATGGGGATTTATGTATCTGCTATTGTTTCAATATTGGTTTATGTTTTTTTGTCAGATATATTCTTTCAATTGAAATATTGCATGGATGTGGTAGAATTCAGTGTGTAGTGCAGAAAATAATTCCTCGGTCCAGGAGCTGAGGGTACCTGGTGTAAGCTCTGTGTTCTGAGTAGGAAAGAGGCTAACTGAAAGAGCAGCCAGAGCTGCTTCCTATCACCACACTGTAACTGTTAACATGCCAGTTAGTAACAGTGGCCCCTTAGACTTCACCAGCCGTTGGAGGGTAAACAACCATGGATGGTATACCGCATACTCGGATATTAGTTAATAAGATTAGTAGTGGGAGGGATCAAGGGTGGGCTAGGATAAGGACTTGGTATTAGATAAACTTCTAGAAGAAAAAATTAAGGTGGGTAAGGTAGCTGGGAGGGAAAAGTTGGGATACTGTGATGGTCCACAGATGTTAGAGAAAGTTACAATTCAGAAGTAAACACAGGAAGGGGTAAGGATGGGAGGAAAAGTTGTGGAAGTAAGAGGTGTAGGTGTGGGTGAAGAGTCTAGTGAAAGGTGAACTGGATGGAGAAACATGAAAAACACTCTGAAAACCTAACAGAGCAATGTACAAACAAAAGCAGAGCCATCATATGCAAGAATGGAAGTTAAATAGTAGGAAATAAGTGATAAGAAGAATATTTATAAAGACTGGAGAGGTGGCTCAGCGGTTAAGAGCACTGGCTGCTCTTACACAGGACCCAGGTTTGATTCCCAGCACCCATATGGTGGCTAACAACCATCCCTAACTCCAGTTCTAGGGGATCCAATTCCCCCTCTGACCTCCACAGGGTTTGTACGACATGGGTGTATGTACACACATGCAGGCAAAATAGTCGTATACATAAAATAAACATTAATCAAAAAGAAGAAGAATATTTATAAAGAGAATTGCTTGCACAGCTGCACCAAGTTGAAGATGAAGTCTTGGATCCCACTGAGCAGGTTGCAGGTGGCACTGGGCAAGGAGGGGCCAGCAGGTGATGTTGGTCTCTGTAGGGATTGTAAATCCCTTCCTGCTAGTTCTCCGAGACACATGCGCTTCACCCTGGCCTCTTCTGGTTTGCAGGGTGAGTTTATGGGAGGAGCAGCAAATCTGCAGTTTCTATTCTTCTGGGTTTGGAAGTTTTTTAACATCTATCCTTGCCTGCTTGAGATTTCACACCTTGTTTGTTGTTTTGCAGGTTAGGTTTAATTTCAGTGTGATGGTAAATGGAATCCTCTCCACAGAGGTCTTTGGGTAAGTCTATAAATAATGCTCTGCTTTTATAATTTGTTTCCAGACATTATGGTCCAATTTCTAGTAGGTTCAAGATTTGATTTCTTCTTGGGTGCTAGAGAGATGGCTCAATGGTTAAGAACACTGGCTGTTCTTGCAGAAGACCCGGGTTTGAATCCCAGCACCCACGTGGTAGCTAATAACTGTCCGTAACTCCAGTTCTGGGGATCCGACAGCCTCTTTTGACCTCCGAGGGCATTGCACGACACGAGTGTACTTACCTACATGCAGGCAATACACGCATACACATAAAAATAATAAAATATTTTTTTTAAATATTTGATTTCTTATTCCCCAATCACCTTGAAACTAATTTTCTGAGATAGTTGCATTTTCTTACTCTGTCTTAGCTTTTAACAAGTTAAATCTGCTCATCTAAACTTTGCATGTTTTACCCTTTCACTGGAGGGAATTAACTTAAAAGTTGCCACTTTCCTTTTGGTTATTTGATTGCTGAATTCTAGTTGTCTGGTGGAATAGTCATGAATGGTAATAGTCATGAGCCAAGTAGATGTCGATTTGAGAGGTGACTTAACTTTTCTTTGCTTTGCAGGGCAGAGAACGAGCCAACTTTGAGCCTGTCCAATGGAGTTGCTCTTGTCCTAGGCTCTCAGCATTATGTGAGGTGAATGCAGAGCATTGCTGCCCCTTTCTGTGTTTCTCGCTATTGTTTTGAGTAGGAATGTTGGTAGAAGTTGGAAATTATCTCCCATCTCTTTCCTTTCCTTCCTCTCCCCTTCTTGTCTTTTCTTCCCTCTGTCTCCTCCTCTGCTCTCCTCCCTCTTTTAATTTTTAAAATGTTTTCTGTGGGTCTGGAGAAATGGCGCAGCAGTTAAGAGCACTGACTGCTCTTGCAGAGGACCCAGCACTTACATTATGGCTACAAACCATCCTTAACTCCAGTTCCAGGGGAATCCAACGCCCTCTTCTGACCTCTGCGGCATTGCATAACACAGGTGTACTCACATACTTGCAGGGCAATACACTCATACACATAAAAATAAAAATAATAAATATATTTAAAAAAATGTTTTGTGAGGCTGGGCGTGGTGGCGCACGCCTTTAATCCCAGCACTTGGGAGGCAGAGGCAGGTGGATCTTTGTGAGATTGAGGCCAGCGTGGTCTACATTAGTGAGTTCCAGGACAGCTGGGGCTACAAGGAGACCCTGTCTCAAAAAAGACAAAAATGTTTTGTGCATGAGTATTTTTCCTTATGTATGTGTATAAGTGCACCATGTGTGTACAGTGCCCACAGAGACCAGAAAAGGGCAACAGATTCCTTGGAACTGGAGTTACTGACAGTAGTTAGTCACTGTGTGGATGCTGGGCACTGAACCCCAGTTCTCTATAAGGGCAGCCTATGCTCTCAACCACTGAGGCATCACTCCAGCACCCCTTCTGTTATTATTCCTCCTCTCTCTCTCTCTATCTCTCTCTCTCTCTGTCTCTCTCTCTCTCTCTCTGTCTCTCTGTCTCTCTCTCATATTTCTTCTCTTTAGAAAAGAGTTGTTGGAAAGTAAACAAACACAAAATTGAACTACCTTCTTTCTTGGAGAAAGTGATAGCCTAATTTTTTCTCCCTGCTCTGACCGAGCAGTAGTGACCACAGACTTATGCAAGGGAATGTACAGTGTGTACAAGTACAGGCTTCTGAGTATCATGGGGCCAGTTTTAAGCCATTTGTTTACAGAGCCCATGCACAACGCTGATGTTTGAATGATCTTGGAAGTTATTCTTGGAACCATGGAGAAAATAAACTTTTGAGAATGTGAAGGAATCATGAAAGGCAGCAAAAGTAGAAGCTTTTCTACTCTGTCTATTGAGTCCCTATATGGCTGTGCTGATGCCAACAAGTTACGGAGGAATTTTGAATGCTGTACTAAATGGTTCCTTGAGGGAAAAAAGTTAAATTTGTCTTATCTGATTTTTAACAGCGAACCCAAATCCAGCACAACTGGACTTCACTACAGCAGACTCCACCCTGTGCTAGGACATCCAGTAGCACTGTTCCTCCCTGATGACGTGGCTGGCATGAGCCTGTCGGGAAAACTGACACTGACTCCAGCTGCTGCGCTGTGTCCCAGCCCCAAGGTCTTTTCCAGCCAGCAGAATAGGCTTTCTTCAGTTTCCATATCCTTTTGACAAGTTCTATCCAGATGTCTTTGAAGATGGGTTTTTGAATCCCAATATTAAGAAAGCCTTTATATATAAATTATTTATCTAGAACCATGTATGATTTGCATAGAAGTTTAACCCAGTATGAAAGTGAGGCTTGAATTACTTAGACAGTGAGAGGTGGAGAATGAGGCCAGAATAATGGTCAGAGTTGAGAGTAGTAGCTCCTCATTGTATTCAGGAATGTGACCTTCATTTTCTACAGTGGGAAGCCACTGAATGCTTTGGCAAGAGTATCTCACAGCATGTGCTGGGAGGTACTGAAAGGAGAAAAGTAATTAGTAAAAAAGTGAGTGAATTGGGTTCAGAGCTAATAAGTGCCCAAATTTAAAGTGTGAATGGTATAGAAAGGTAAAAGTTATCACTGGAAAGAATTAATATGTGAGGCAACCAATTCATCACTGCAAGGAATGGCAATAATGCAATTTTTTTCAGACTGGGTCTCATGTCTCCCACGCTGGCCTCAAACTCAGTACTTAGCTGTGGATGACTTTGAACTTCTGATCCTTCTGCCTTCATCTCCTGAGTGTTGGGATTACAGGGGTGAGCTACCACCCCTGGTTTATGCAGTTTGGGGTCTCAAACCCAAGGCTTCACGCGTGCTAGGCAAGCGCTACCAACTGAACCACATCCTCAGCTCTGATGTCAGGATATCTATGCCCAGCGGTACTTGGTAGCACAAGCTTGTGATCCCAGATACTCGAGACTGGGGCAGGAGGATCACAAGTTCTCAGCTGGCCTAGACTAGAGTGACTAAAGACCAATATGGGCAACATAATGAGACCCTGCCACAAATTAAAAAGTTAAACAGAGGCTAGGGATTGCTATAGCTCAGTGGTAGAGCACTTGCCTAGTATGTATAAGGCCCCAGTTCAATTCACAGTATACTCCCACACACACCTCCACACACAAAAGGCCAGGGCTATAGCTCAGTTGATAGAGTAATTGTCTCACAAGTATGAGGCCTTGAGTTTGATCCCCAGGCTGCCAAATTGTGTGTGTGTGTGTTTATGTGTGTGCAAAATAGGCAAATCTATAGAGACAGAAAGTAGATGAATGGAGCGTGAAAATCTACAATTATGTTGATGAAGTCTTTGAATATGCTAAAAACCCTTTATATATTTTTTTAAATATTTTTTACTACTTTTTTTTTGGTCTTTTTTGAGACAGGTCTCCCTGTAGCCCTAGCTGGCCTGGACCTCACTATGTAGACCAGGCTGGCCTTGAACTCACAGAGATCCATCTGCCTCTGCCTCCTGAGAGCTGGGACAAAAGTCATGTGCCACCACGCTCAGCATTTTTTACTATTTTTATTTTATGTGTATGAATGTATTGCCTGTATGTATGTAAGTACACCCATGTCATGCAGTGCCTGCAGAGGCCAGAAGAGGGTGTTGGATCCCCTGGAAGTGGAGTTACAGGTAGTTGTTAGCCACCATGTGGGTGCTGGGAATCTAACTCAGCACCTCTACAAGAGCAGCGAGTGCTCCTAACCACTGAGTCATCTCTCCAGACTCTAATTGTATATTTTCAGTGGGTAAATTGGGTAGTATATGAGCAGTATCTGAATAAGGCTGTTAACAGCTGGCTGGCTGGCAGAGCAGTGAAGGTATCAGCAAAATGCAAAATACTAGTAGCAGACTTGAGGATAAAGATGGGTTTGGCGCTAGGGAAATGGCTCAGTAAGGAAAGTGCCTGCTGCTGCACAAGCACGAGGACCAGAATTCATGTCCTCAGAACCATATAAATGCCCTGTGATGGCTAATCCTGGGTGTCAGCTTGACTGGATCTGGGATTAACTGAAATGAGAGAGATCTTCTTGATTGGATCATCTAAAGCTAGAAGACACACCCTAAATGTGTGTGTCACCTTCTGATGGCAGCCCATATAAAAGGTCAAGGCAGAGGAGAACGCCAGGCTTCTTGCTGCTTGCCTTCTCTCTTGCTGGTGAGTTTGTCTTGCTGCTGTAGACTGAAGACTAGCCTATCTTTTGGAATTTGTCAGACCTTCAGCACCAGATTGGGACTACTGAGACATCCAGCCTCATGGACTGATCGACTACGGATTCTCAGCCTCTCCAGTGTGGTGCAGCCATTGTTGGACTACTCGGACTCTATCCTGTGAGCTAAGCTGATAAATCTGTATACATATGTATATTCATTCTACCAGTTCTGTTTCTTTGGAGAACCCTGACTAATACATGTCCAGTGGGCGTGGCAGCCTATTAGTCATTCCAGTCCTAGAGAGTAGAGAGGGAATCCCCAAAGCAAGGTTGGTGACAAGGCTAGGTGTATGGAAAAGCTCTGGGTTTGATTGAGAGATCCTGCCTGAAAGAATAAGGTGCAAGGGTGGTTAAAGAAGATCCCAGGGCTGGAGAGATGGCTCAGCGGTTAAGAACACTGGCTGTTCTTGCAGAAGACCCAGGTTTGAATCCCAGCATCCATATGGTAGCTAACAACTGTCTGTAACTCCTGTTCCAGGGGATCCGACAGCCTCTTCTGTCCTCTGCGGCACTGCACAACACGGGTGCACTTACCTACATCCAGGCAATACACATAAAATAATAAAATATTTAAAAAAAAGATTCCAGGTATCAACCTCAGACCTCCATGTGTACCCACATGTGCACCCACACAGATGTACACACGTACCATGTACACACACAGAGGGAAGAAGACTCTGTCTTAAGCAGACTGACTTATGACGCCTGTAGGGCATTCTTTGAAGATGGTAAGTAGCTAATCTAGATAAATGCTGTCTGGTCTGCAGGTTGGAAGTGAGCAGATTTAGAGATGCAGGTTTTCAGTGTCTTAGTTCATCCCCTGAGTCATTGTTCTGTAGTGCAGTGCTGAGGGTGTAGCATAGGAGTGTAATGTTATGATGGAGGCAACTTACCCAGGCAACCTAACTTTTCACTTCCCCTTTTTCAGCTTTCAGATATCTCATGTATTTATTTTCCCCTCACACAGGGGTGTCCAACCCACAGCTGTAGCCACATGTCCCAGCACAGCTACCCAGCACAAAGTCATGACCTTCCTTAAAATATGAGTTTTGCATTATTTTTTGTCCTTGTAACTCAAATGTGAACTTTGTGGATGGCAACGTTGTGTTGCAGTGCCATGGAAAATAAATGTACGCATATTCTCACCATTCGTAGGCATGGATGGCTCTAGCTTTATGGTACGCAACATCCTGTACTACTTTCCATATGCAGACAGTTGAATTGGCACCTCAGACATTACATGTATCTGGTGACTTGGCTAGTGAAATGCAGTGATCATCAGTAATGTTTTAACTGACCACTGCAAATGATAGGCATTTAATGTTACTGAGAAGACAGTTTATTTGATTTCTAAGGGTATTTCCACACCTCCACTGCCAACACAAATCCCTGGCCACACTTTTCAGTCTGCCCTCTGTTTCATGCTTCATTGGCAGCTAAGATACAGAAGGACCCAAACCTTGCTTTCTATTTTCCTATCAGCTAATTTTCATAATAAAAGTAAATAGTCTCTTACCTATTGTTATTTTAATCCCAGCAGGGCTTCTACAATGATTCAGGAAACCAGAACCCAAAAAGAAAAATTATAGATGAAGGAAGAGTGTTCAGTGATAAGTAGATAGACAGCTACTTTTTTAATCAAGTCAAATAGTAAAGCACTCTACTTGATTTGGTGGAAATTTGTGCAGGTTTTCAAAGACTAGTTTGAAAAGACATATGCAAAAAGATGCTTCCAAATTCTGTGCATCAAGGACTTTGTCATAAGGACAAAATAGTAGAACTGAAAAAAATCTGTCTTCTCAACAAAATTTGTTTTAAAATATTCCAGCACAGATGGAGTCTATTAAAAGCTAGATGTGTGGTAGCATGTTTAATGGCAAAAGAATTCAGAACCATTTAGTGATGGAGAGTTTATGAGAAATGTATGCAGAGGCCGGGCATGGTGGTGCAAGCCTTTAATCCCAGCACTCGGGAGACAGAGGCAGGTGGATCTCTGTGAGTTCAAGACCAGCCTGGTCTATATAGTGAGTTCCAGGCCAGCTGGGGCTACAGGGAGACCCTGTCTCAAAAAGACCAGGAAAAAAAAAAAAAAAAGAAAGAAAAGAAATGTATGTGGAGGATAGCAGATATGCCCTGAAGGGGGCATGTTTCCAAAATCATTTCCTCTTGGACTATAGCCAGGTAGGGGTCAGCAAGATGGCACAGTGGGTAAAGGTGCCAGGCAAGTCTGGCAACCTGAATTTAATCCCAGGAACCAACCCATGGTGGAAGGAGACAACCAACTCCACAAAGTTATCCTCTGACCTCCATACATGCAAGTACACACACACCATGAACACACATGCACACATATGTACACTGGAAATTGGAAAATCTATCAGAAGAAGTTTGGAAAGTAAACTGCTAATTTTACATGTTATGCTTTGGCAATGGATGACAGCACAAAGGAAGGCGGCGCCTGTGGCTCAGCTTGCTGTTTCTGTTAGAAGTAGTGACAACTATAACGTCACTGAAGAAATGCTGTCTTTGGTGCCATTAAATGACAACTGAATCAAGAGATTTACATGAAGCAGCAAACAGTATGTTAAAGCGATTTTATTTGTCCGTTGTCAGCATATCTGAAACAGTATCGGATGGCGCCTCCGCGGTGGTGGAAGAGAAGGACTTGTGAAATTAGTAACAGGGTCATTGCTACCACAAACTCACATTTAATGAAGTATCATTGATGGTAAATCAGGAAAATTTATGCAAAAAATGTTAAAAGTAGGTAACACCATGCAAATTGTTATTAAAAGCTGAATTTTAGATACTGGAGAGATGGCTCAGCGGTTAAGAACACTGGTTGTTCTTGCAGAAGACCTGGGTTCAAATCCCAGCACCCACATGGCAGCTGATAACGGTCTGTAACTCCAGTCCCAGGGGATCTGACAGCCTCTTTGACCTCTGTGGGCAT